CGGAAATGCAAGATGCTGCAAAAAATTTTTATTCTGCCATCTTAGGTACATTCCAGAGAATATATTCATGTAAGATTCATCGTGACCTCAAGTGACCTCCTTTTTATAAATTTAACTATGTAGTCAAAAGTGCAGAGAAAAAAAGGATTCAGTGAAACAGCCGTTATAACGATAAAAATATAACTATTTAATTAATTTTTTCCATAAACATATACCCAAAAGATCATTCGATAGATATAAACTAAGCTTTGTCGTTACAAAGATACACTGTAGCAAATTATGACAATTTCAATAAAAAAAAAATGCGATCACTGATGCAGGCATTTTTTCCTATTTTTGAAACTTCGAAAAAAAGTTCTGAATAATTTATAACAGTTTCATGTACACCATAACGTACTTTATAATTTTTAGAATATATGATTCAAATTTGATGAATTTTCAACAACATCAAAAAGTGGAATAAAGTTCGTGTTTTTGAGGATCCGGGTCACTGTGCGTCGACCGGGTTAAAAACGAAGAGATAGCGATTTTCATCGACAGGCTCAAACCGACATACGTGTTCGAAAGTGACGAAGAGCCAGAACAAGTGCAAAAGCAGGCGTCACTACAAACCGAACGATCAACCGAAAGGAGCGACGCACCAACTTCCAGTCGACGCGTCAACGTTTGCAGGTTGATCGGTGATAAAATTGTAGCGTACGGATAAGGAATGCATGTAGCGTGCATATTTAAGTCAGTTGCAAATTAGATCAAGTAATTAGATCAAGCAGGGTAACGTTTGGACTAGATGAAAGGTGATTTAGCGGCTATCGACACGTACAAATAGCAACGTTTGGCGTGCGAAAGGTCAAAGGAGTTTATGGAACGCGTTATCGCATAGCTGTTTTTGAGGAAACTGTTTTTCATTTTAGCGGACAAGTTGAAGGCTTTACTGCGGCACGTTCTGCCTCTTTCCGGACTTATTCAGTTTCAGTCTGAACAGCTTATACGGGTACTATAAACCTCGGGGGTTTTCCGAAGGGGACAAGAGTCAAGATTGGCAGGCGACCTCCACTTCGTACGATACATTGCCAAGTTGCCGCAACCGTCCCAGCGTCCCAGAAAAGCGCGCCAAATACGGTGTTAACCATCCCGAAGTGTCTGTCGGGCTTGAAGACGAAAGCGTCTTTAGAGTTATCCGAGCGACGATCAGGCAAACACCGAACGGTCAGCAGAATTTGTATATACGAACAGAAAGAAATAAAGGCTTCACTTCCGACTAAATATTCAACGCGTACACGAGATAGTGATCATTTACCATCACAAACCTACGATCTTTCAAATATCCGCAAAGATCTGCTAACGTCTAAAAAGAAAGTGTGACATATGTAAAAGTATATCGAATGTAAATGATGTAATAGTGAAATCTTCGTTGCTTAATTATTACAGTTATAAGAACCGATATTAATTTATACTTTGATTTATATTCATATTTCAACATCGCAAAATGTAACGAAATGTGTTCAAAACTCAATTTACAATAGAGTACACTCTACCGATTTTGATGATCTTGAGGTGTGGTAAGAAATCGATAGTATTCTTACTTAATGATACAGTAATAAAGAATTGCTTAATTCGATCCTATCTTAATCTTTAGAAATTCGATACGTAGCGATTAAAATATTTATGTTTGTATTTCGGACACTAAAGCCAAGCGTCAGTGACACGTATAACGAAGAGTTGTTCAGAACGATGTCCTTAACAACATATCTCAAGGTCATCTAGATTGGCAAAGTACGCTCTTGCTGAATTAGAAGAAGCTGGGTAGAAATTAAAGCGTAGACAAAATAAAACTGATCGTATCGCAACAGAGGTTAAAGGCTTTATTTTAGAGGTACTTGAGGGAGCGGGTACGTATCTTCTTGGCAACTGATTTTTCGGTTTTCTTCCACAATGGAAAAACTCTCCCACTACATGTGGACCCTTTCAAGACACGTCATAAATTACCTACATCTACTCCAAGACTCTAATGTAAACCTTTACGCTTATGCTCACTTATCTCCAATCTATATAACTTATCTTAACTAATCTCGAATGTTCGTCGGCGGATAAATAGGGTTTAGAAGTAAAATTCTTTCTCAAATTGTTTTCATAATTTATTGTTAGTTCACATTTCCATTTATATTTCTATCCGATTTTTTCATTATTACTTTATAGATGTCGATTAGTAATAACTTGTAATCTACGATGTTCGTATATTATACATTCTTTCTTGCATATAGTTTTATCGTAAGCCCAAGCCCTTTGGTCTAGAAGAGTTCTTCGTGTCTATAAAACAAAAAATTTAACGCACGGTAACCACAAAGCCCCAACTTAAAGCGCATATGGCGCATCCATCGTTTCGAAAAGTTTCGTAAAATGAACTTTTTGAGGACTAGCAGATAAATACAAATATCGGAGCAACGTTTATCTGTATATAATAATGAATACCAGTATTAGTTTGCCTACGTTATTTGCTTACCGAAATTAGAATAAAATACGATTTAATTCTAAATTACAAGTCGTACAGATTATGTCAACATACAGAACAACTTAGGGCTTCGAGTACTTTTTATTTATTATTTATTCATCGCAATATGAAAATCCACTTCACTTTGTACAAATCTTATTTAAAAGGTTATTCGCGTATACAGTGCTGGACAAAAGTATTGGCACATCATGGTTGTTGTGGTTCAAGTGCTTATAACTACTAAACAAATTGATTTGAAGGAAAAACTTTTGGACATATTCATTTATTATCTGTTCTAGTTTTATTACATAGCAGAAGTAATAAAATAAATACATTTATTCACGAAACAATAACAAAAATGTATTTATCGAACATTTTATGGGTGGACAAAAGTATTGGCATATTCGAATAAAAACCTTTAAAAATGATTTGGAATTAAATATTAACATTTAGTTTGCCCTCCTCTCCTTTTAAGGATTTCCTTTAATCGTTTGGGCATTGAATCAACTAACTTTTTTGTAAAATCGGATTCGATTTTATTCCATTCTTGTAAAAGAACATTCTTCGAGTCTGCTTTGCTTTCGATACTATGTTATACGATGTTTTCGAATCCTTTTTTCCAATTCATTCAAGACATGTTCGATAGGATTCATGTCTGGACTCAGGGGTGGTGTATTTAGGGAATGAGAAGTATTATAAAAGATCCAATGGCGTACGATGTAAGCGGCGTACTTTGGATCGCGGTCTTGTTGGAAATAGAAATTCCGCCAGAGATTTAATTTTTCCGCATTTTTTAATAAATTTTGTTTCAATATATTTAAATATGCGTATTTGTCCATAATATCGTCTATAAAAATTAATTCGCCAATCCCAGATGCTGCCATAGAACTCCACACCATAACTTCATCACCTCCATGTTTTACACTCGATTGTAAATTTCGTACTTCCAATTCGGTATTTGACTTTCTCCAAACTATTTTTCTACCATCGGATTTAAATATGTCAAATTTGCTTTCATCCGAAAACAGTATGTTGCTCCAAAATGTTGAATCCTTCGTTATAAATTCTTTGGCAAATTCAACTGTCATCTTTCGATTTTTTCCCGATATGTATGGTTTTCTTCGCGCAACACACGCAGAATATCCAGTAATTTTTAATACCCTTCGCACAGTTTTCGAACTTACTTCTTTTTGACACTTTATTTAATATCATTCTGAGTTCCGAAGAGTTTAATTTAGGATTTTTCTTCACTTCGCTTACAATTTTACGTTTTTCTCTAACAGATAACTTGCGAGGACGACCACTTCGACTCGCACTATCAAAATCTGATTGATTTATAAATTGTTTTACAATGCTTCTAATAGCGAAACGACTTTTGTTAACAATTTGTAATAATTCGCTGTAAGATTTTCACATTTTATACAAATTTAGTATTATTTCTCCTCTCTTCATTTGTCATTTCTTTCGCTTTTCTCGATATTATTACATTTTCTTACTTTGCCTGTTGCTAAACGACTGAAGTTTAGGATGATCGTTGTTAAAAATGACTAATCGGGGTGTCACCTAACTAGATTTCAAAATGACGATCGGAAATTTTTCAAACAAATGCAGATATACTACATTTAACATCGTGTGTCAATACTTTTGTCCACCCATAAAATGTTCAATAAATGCATTTTTGTTATTGTTTCATGCATTTTGTTATTGTTTCGTGAATCAATGTATTTATATTATTGCTTCTACTATGTAATAAACTAGAATAGATAATAAATGAATATGTCAAAATGTTTTTCCTTCAAATCAATTTGTTTAGTAGTTATAAGCACTTGTACCACAACAACCATGGTGTGCCAATACTTTTGTCCAGCACTGTATGTATAATACTAAATTCTTTCGCGTCTATTTCATTTGATTCACACAGGATCGTGTGTTCCTAACCACGGACTACACAGATGATACGTCTCCCAAAGTCATACAAATTATCGTTCAAGTCTCAATAATTACAACAAGTTGCCAAAATCACAGAGAAAATCAAAAATTGCCAGGACTACCCTCAAGCAATCGCTATATATCTTTTCGCCCCACTCTCTAATCGGAATAACATCCTTACGTTGCATACCTTGCCGTCACTCCTGATATCGACGGTCAAACCTAGCCCGATGATGATCTTAACCATGACGATTCCTTTTAAGAGGTCATCGCATTTAGTGCATATAGTACGCGTCAAAACTTATAGAAAGAAATATAAATTACAACTAAATATCCTTTCGTATTGTTACTAACGAAGAGATATTTTATGTAAGCTCATATGTAAAATTTGCGTAAATTGTACTACACTTAAGAAACTCTTAAAATCACAGTGTAGTGGTTTAAAACAAGAAGAAATGTACTCTTTTATCGTATTTTATATGTTAGTGCCACATTCTATCTCTTAGTCTCTTCCCCCCCCCCAAAAAAAATTACAAAGTAACCTATAGATATAAATAACTAAATTTTTTTAAAATTGTTACAGTCACTCCGTCTAGAAGCCGCTCTGTTAGCAGTATTTGGTATATGCTGTATTTTGTGCTGTGTAATACCTGGAATAGAGCTTTGGCTTGCATGTCGTCCAATAAAAGAGGATTACCAACCGAGTCAACATCCCGGTGCACTTACATTTTTCCTCGCATTCTTCGTCTGCATTCTCGGGTAAGAATTATTTTTAATTTTCCAGTGATTGCAAATTTTTACCTACTGCTAGATAACAGACTGCCAGATTGCAAACATAAGAAACAGAGAATGTTTACTTTTTATGGATCATTTTGTCTCGAGTCGTTCCAAAAATTACAATCGTGATAATCGATTTCCATCGAATCTACAGCATTTGTTGGTAATTTCGTGAAATAATCTAATTCCTTTATCTCGAATAGTACGTAAGATATTCGACGTTAAAGTTTTGGAAAATCGAATGGAATTGATCGATATATCATGGCTATAATGATTTAGACTATGTTAAAAGAAATTTTTGTCCTGAAGAATAGAGAAACACTTTCTACTGGTATTTCACGAAATGATTTTCCGTGGGCTTCAACGCGTAACCAGTTACTTCTGTAAATGTCTTGTAATATAGTCATTGATCACCGAGAAACCTTAGTTCCGAATAAAGTAGTAACAAATAGTAGAAAATGCCACGTGCGATAATAGTACAATAACACCAATCTATTTACATATTTCTATTCCAATGGCCAAAAGAGACATTATAATAATTTGGTTTTACCTTTGAGTTAAGCAACATTTTATGACTATTTATTTTACGACTATTTAACTAGCTCTATAAACTATTAGCGCCATTGGAAACATAAGTTTGCGTTATACATAAACGTTGAAAGTGATAAAAAGTTAATTATTTGATACAACTGTTAAAGATGTAACGATATACTACGTACTTAATGAAATGTCACACATGGAGATACGAATTTTCTAAGCAATGGAGTATTTTTACAATGAGAAACATGTGAAAAGGAAATTCATTGCAATAGAGCAACGAAACTATTATTATACCACATTTTCGATAAATTTATTACATATGTTTTCCTGCATCGTATTACTACGTATATATATAAAATATATTTGCATATATCAACACATTTTAAGTAGATAAACATCCGCAGTGTATCTATAATAAATCAGAAAATCGGACTACTCGGACTGTATCAAAATTCGAGTCACCGTAAACCGACAACTGGTATATTAATACGGCTGTGTTTACTATGGTTTCCTTTCCTAAAAATCGTTTCTCAATAATTCAACCAAATTTAAATCTTCCTATACCACATCTATAAAAAACAAAAATTATATTAATAGTATTAGTCTAATACCCAATCTTACACACGATACAAGTGTATCAAACGAGGAAATAAAGAGCTCTTTATTCATTACCTATAATTAACTCGATCTCGCCTTTTGCAATATTTAAAATTATGCACGTTCAAATTTATCTGAAATTAAATTCTACGAATACTTTATTACAGTCTCTATAACATTTTGTACACTAAATCTCTCTTCGGTCGCTTGCTCGGACTAGATTTTTCCTCTTCCTCTCGCTATCGGGTCGAGCTCCACTCCTTTCTATTCTATTAGTTGTCTAACTCTGCACGAGCATCGCGGCTGTGCTCGTGGCGGGAATTTCGATTCTGCGTTCCGTCCACAAATTTATATATTTGATTCGAGTTATAGAGAAATTTCGATTAATGCAAAACAACAAATCGCAATACCGTCGACGCCCAAAAACCTCGGCAATTTTCGATTTAAATATTTAATACCAAACGATAAAACAAAAATAATCGTTAATCGATTTTCACCTTAGATCTTTAATTACTATATTACTTTTAATTCCATTTCATATCTCGAACGTTTGAAGGAACGCTAACTTTCCATAGACTATTACCAGTAATACTTAACATCGAAAGAATCCATTCCAAAGCAACATCCTATGATATCGATATGGCGCTCGTGCTCTTTATCTGCCTGAAATATCTTAAATAGATGTCTTAGAAGTTGAGATATTTATGTTTTTATGTTCGTCTAATTTTATAACTTTCCGCTATAATTGTATGTTTCGATTAACTCCGTAACTTTAAAATCCTGGTACTAAGTCAAAAAATTGTGTATCACCTTGTAATAACTAAAGAGGTAAGCAAAGCGTTAAATCACAGACAAAGTCTGTGGTTAAATAGACGCAACAATCGGTATAGTAGGTTTCTCCATAAAAATATCGGTAGTTGACAAAATCATATTTAACATACACCTCTCGATGTAACTTGCTCGCAATATTAGTTAATAACAAGATTGAAACTTATTACAATACTTTCCTCCTCTGCCAACTCCAATTTTCTTCGAAGAATTTTGGTCGCATTAAAAATGTTACATTTTGACCATTTGTATTATTTGTGACTCAACACGTGGTTGCGTTTCATTTAACTTATTATAAATTTACCCGTCACTGTAACGCGTGGGTATATTAATTTTAGGATATTATCTCAATTTAAATTAATGGTAAAGAATTGATTTTGATAACTAGATGAATCGAAAGTACGAACAATAACAGCGTTAGCAGAGATAATGTTATTGTTGGAAATATTGATATAATGGTGGAGAAATGTCTCGACAATGATAATTGAAGTAGTAAATCGAAACAACATTCTTATTCGTGATCCTTCTGGCAAAATTCTTTCTACATCAAATCCGCACGTGTCTTACTTGAAACAAAACAAAACTGCAGACGACATATTAAAATAGTCGCGTGTAATAAGTGGATCTCCAAATTGGTGTACTATTTCAAATATTCTACGAACTCGACATTCTGCTATCACGGGCAATATTTAACACAAAGGAAAATTGAAGAAGATATATTAAAATATGTAAATAGAATAAAAAAAGAAAAACAATTTAAGCATTTTCGCTTGGAGGTCTACGTTGTCAAATGGATGCTACTAACTAAATGGATGTCAGTCTGGTGGTTAACAGTATCGGTATGAAGAAGCTATGCCCTTGTCTCGAAGAATAAGAATTTAGCAAATCGCCCGATAAGGTATATACAACGTTATTATGTTTTATTGCATGTTTTTTTACATATAAATCGTGAGCAATTGGCACATTTCATACTATTGTAGCAGACTTTAACGAAGAGGCGTGTAGCTGATAGGTAAATATTTTATTTCGTTCCATGCTCGTAGGCGAATGCGTCAAAAACGCATCCCCCGCAGTCTTATAGGGCGTGTCCCCTCTCCGTGACCTCGTTTTCACGTGTCGGTAGTCTCTTAGGTTGAACTTCGGTCCAGACGCCCCTGTTTGGCGTCTAAACATCCCCATCCGTGACTGTTGTCCTTGGACCTGGGCGATGTCTTTCTAGAACTCCAACGAAAGGCTTCCTCCCACTGGAATGAAAGCAATGAGTAGCGATGAAAGTTGCCCACACTGTATTTTCGAGAATTGTGAAAATTCATAAAATGAAGATATATTTGACCAATTGTTTCTTTTTGCTGTTATACCGAATACTGCTAGCTTCAGACGTTTGAACTCTCTACGCAGTCATTTGTTTACGTTACGGTGATAAGAATAGAGCCTGCAGACATCGCCGCTCCTTGAATAATAGAGGGTTAAATAGAGTGTAAATTTTTTTACTTTCATTTCACGTTAAGCAGTGTCACTGACCTAAGAAAAAAGGAAAAAGGAAAAATGACTTGAATAACCTATACGTTGAAAAATTAACCGAAAAAAATTATGAATCATTGAACATCCAAATGTAGAGTGCACTTATCTGTAGTGATTCGGAAAGATCGAAAGTCGTTGGCTTTGATCACTTTCATCGTCGCACCTAGGCAACTAATTCTGATAAAGAAGACTGATTGAACAGCTCGAAAGAAAAAGAAACCTGCGATGAATTGAGTCGCATTTTTTAATGAAAAAGACCCATAAGAAAGAAAGGACGCTATACAAACAGCTATATCGGATGAGAAAAGATCCGTCTATTAGCATGAGTCAATACATCAGTGAATTCATAAAAAATGCAGGACAACCAACCGAGGTAAAGATAAAATTCCCCATGACCTATCGTCGATAATATTGTTATAGAATGCGAAGATGAAATGCCAAATGTCGATAACCTCAAAATGAAACTGTAGAGGAGAAAGCTCGGTAAAATAACAGAAACGGGAGTAACAACAACGACAAAAACGCACCTAGAACTGCAAGTTCAATAATCACAAACATTTGGTTCGACCAAAAGGGAAAACACAATAATACGACTATATAGAAATCACGTATATTTTGCTTTAATTACGGTAAAGATGGACATAAAA